GCACGCCCTGCCAAGTGGGATTGAGCAAATGTTAGTTTCATTTGCTCATCAACGATACGACGTGCCTTTATGGCTCTTTCTCATTCGCCGACCCATAACAACAGGGATCCTTCCTCGACTCCTCTGTACTTCGGGATGTCAACCTTGAATATCTCGGGGAGACGCGTGTGTGTCGTCCCGCCCACAGCAGCATTGAATTGCTGCTGTCTCAACAGCTCTGTCTGTTAAGGACCGAGTTCCCCCAACTGCTCAGCCTTTTGAGAACCTTGATGGTGAAGCAAGGCTACTTTCTCTCGTTCGGAGCCAAGTTCATGCCGAATGAACCTGGCGATAGCGGCATGTTGTTGGTCTCTGTCAAGAGATTCCAACATAGCGGTAACGCCAATGTCGCCCACGGTAGAGCTCATTCGCCCTACCGCGGCTCATTCGAGGTCACTCAAATGAGCGAAGCCTTCACGTGTGACGTGAAAGATCTCTCCCTCAACCATCATATTCATGATGGATAAGATGGGTGGTCGCTGCACGGACTACAAAGTGCTACCAGGTGTGAAGAGGAACGCTCTTGCTCAGATAACTGAGCAAGGCCTTATATTGATAACAGTACAAGGGTGCGTACGCCCGACGTCACGTACGCGTGGCGTGACGAAGCGCGACCAAGACAAAACAGAAACGGAAAGCTCTGTCTTGAGGGAAAAGTAGAACTGTTTTTTGAAGTAGAACTGTTATTTAATATAGTTATGTTTCTTGCTAAATCATCTTTCGTCTTAATATAACTATAGTAAACTACTGTCTCCTATGTGGGTCTTCTGTCCAGCAGCGATTGGTAGTTAAATTGAGTGATGTAAACGGTACATCAACCAAGAAGTGGACCCCTCCACGGATATTACCCTTAGAGGTAATACTCCGACAACATCACTTCTCTCAAGTGATGTTGATTGAATATTATCAAAATAGAAAATGTTCAAAAATTGGTACTTTCGTACCAATTTTTATGTAACGGGCTCACCCCGTTTCACATGCTCTTTAACCAGAAAAGATGTCACTTGCGGCCGTGCCAGGTGGTAGGGATTTGTCAGGTTGTCTGATTGTACTGCATTTGTGAGCAGAGATCGTTCAGCCTGACCATATGCTTAGCGACATCTTTCCGGCTCATCAGTCTTATGAACGTTGTCGAGTTAAGTCCTTGTTTCGCATCGCCATGAAAGCGTGGATGCCGTGCGGTAGTTCATTGTCATTCGCAGCAATAAGAAAGTCACATTTACTTGCCTTGGAGTCCGGAACCGACGCACCCTCTCCAGGACCAAGAGAGCAACCAGAAAGCTTCTTCAACATACCGGGTACCTGAACGCTTTTTTGGATGCGATCGGCTCTATGCACATCGGGTGTCGTCCGGTCGTAGAGGGAATTGATTGCCGGTCAAGCTGCGGGCATAGTCAATCAACGGTACGAACGTGCCCATTTTCGTCTTATCGACTTGAATAGTACTGCTTCACGGGTTAAGCCTAAGATGGGTGACGTGCGCCCCGTCGTTGGCGGATGGATTAGATTAGCCTTCAGTTCAAACGGCGAATCGGCCGAGCGAATAGCTGCCACGCACATCCGGTCGGATGCGTCGACGACGACGACGACGACGACGACGGCATCAAAGGTTTTCGAACGACCAGCAGGCAGAATTGCACCGTCTTTGATTTGCATCGGCAACAACTGTCTTGACTGAGGGCGTTTGACGATATACAGTTGACGCTTCGTGGCATGCACTCCGACCCGTCCGCGCAAGCGCTTCCTGTGAGTCCTGCAGCCAGCTACCGTCGAGATTGTCTGTCAATGTTTACTTACGAGGCGACTTTGCATCCCCTTCCGCGACTGCAAGCGTACAGTGCTACACAAGATGACTCGATGACGTAAAAATGCCGCGCACAACTTTGTCACGAAGAAGCAGCTCCGTTTGGCACTGCTGTTGCTCGATCGTGCACATGTCCCTTGCCGCCAAGCTGTGATGCATGTCATGTCTATGGCTTAGACGGTCAGAGGCGCTCTAAATATTTGACGTCGAGTTGTATGTTTCTTGAAAACGATCGGCCGATTTACCAGAACCCGTCTCTCTGCCCTAAGCATACTGAACGCTACACGATGGATCTCTCTCTCTCTCTTGCTGAAGCGCGCAAGTACGACAACAACTTCTCTTCCGCAAAGCCTTATCCTGCAAATCGTAGCCACAGGCACGCAAAGTCGGCTGACCGAACATTGCATGAGTGCAGTATTCCCTAACTGACGTATTACACTACACGGTCGTACGGTTGTGCACTTCAGTGTATCGTACCCTCGTGCGTATCCAATGATCGGCTGCCCATTCTGCTACTCCGGACGCTTGACGATGGCCAACAACAAAGACAGGCTCTCGTTGCAGTACGGTTCAGCCAATTGTGCTGCTTTGCATCTTACGATCGAGCAACTCGAGCCAATGTAGTAGCACCTCGTCTACTGCCCATCCAGCCAATACAGCCGGGCCAGTGTATCCACACATACACACATACCACAGGTCCAGGATTTGCACCGTGAAGAGACCGCCGAAATCTGTCGCCCTGTTGCAATCCATTGTCGCAAGTCGATGGGAGCAGCTCATCGTCGGTCGTCATCAACGACACACCAAGTGCACATTGACCGTGTCTCGCGTGACTCGGCTCGACTCGGGCCAAGTCGACTCGAGTCGCGCTGCTGCTCCACTGTCATTTCTCAATTCGCCTCATTGGTCCTTCACACCCTTCGGCCACTTGCGTCCTGCCCCTCTTCACGCTAAGATGGTAGCGCTCATCTCTCGGACGCTGTCGCTCGTCTCGGCAGCAGTCACGATCTCAAGTGCGCTCGCAATGGCCCCACCAGGGAAAACGCCGTTCGCAGCAAACGTCGCCCAGACGACTACTGTCAACTCGACCGCTCGACTGCAGGCGTTCGAGTACTGCATGGACAGCTCGGCGCCCGACAAGACCAAAGACTCTGTCACGACGAACGTCAACTTGTTCGTCGAGCAGTCGCCGCTGTACGAAGACTTTGCCACGGGCCCCAAAGCCCGTATCGCGCGGAGACCGCTCGGCGTGTACCTCGCCCAGAGCGAAGCCGACGTGGTCCGCGCGGTCAAGTGCTCCGTCAGCAACGGCCTCGCGCCCGTTCCCCGCAGCGGCGGCCACTCGTACGAAGTCCTCTCGTCCATGGACGGCTCGCTGGTCATCGACATGGCCGACATGGTCCAAGTCGCCATCGTGGCGGAGAACCCACTCGAGCACTCGGCGCTCGTCACGGTGCAGACGGGGGCGCGACTGGGCTGGATCCACACGGAGCTCGACCGCCTGGGTGGCGGCTACAGCTTAGTCGCTGGCACGTGCCCGACGGTGGGCATTGGCGGCCACGTCTCTGGCGGGGGTTACGGCATGATCAGCCGCCACTTTGGCCTGGCAGCCGACCACACGGTCGCGATGCGCGTGGTCCTGTACGACGGGTCCGTGGTCACAGCGTCCGCGACGGAGCACCCGGACCTGTTCTGGGCCCTGCGCGGCGGCGGCGCCGGCTCCTTCGGCATCGTCACGCTCTTCACGCTCAAGGCCTACGCGCTGCCGCAGGTCTCCGTCTTCAACATCCACTTCGACGCCACCGCGCGCGCCCACGTCCTGCGCGCGTGGATGGACTTTTTCCCCACGGCCGACTCGCGCGTCACGACGCAGCTCATGGTGGAAGGAAAGGGCGCGCGCTTGACGGGCCACTTCCTGGGCCCCAAAGCCGAGCTGGACGCGCTGCTGGACGCCTCGGGCCTCTTGACCCACACGGGTCTGACCGCGCAGGAGCGGCTGTCCAACTGCTCGCAGCTCGCGATCAAAGCGTACGCGTGGCAGGCCACGTGCGACGACCTGAGCTCGCTCAACGTCTCGCGCCACATGACGGTCGCGGACAAGGACTATAGCAAGATCAAAGGCGGCTACGCGAACGCGGTGCTGGACGACGCGGGCGTGCAGACGGTGATCGAGTGGGCCGACAGTCTGCCCAACACGACGTGGGCGTATATCCAGTTCGAGGCCTACGGCGGCGTCTTTGCCACGCAGGCGAACGACATGACGCCGTGGGCCCACCGCAACGCCGTGTGGTCCGTCCAGGTCGGCGTTGGCGCGAAGAAGGGCGAGTCGGAAGACTCGACGTCGTACCAGTGGATCCGCGGACTGCTTGGAGCTCTTGACAGGTACTTGGACGGCGGCAACTACCAGAACTACTGCGACTTGGACCTGGGCGCGGAGTTTGGCACGCGGTACTGGGGCGCCGCCAACTTTGCCCAGCTGCGCCAGATCAAGGCGCGCTACGACCCGCTGAACGTGTTCCACAGCGCCCAGTCGGTGCCGCTGCCGTGAAGAGCTCCGTCTGTTGATAGCTTACATGGCTACAGTCGACGCGATGCAGGACGGAGGGTGGTGTGATGTGGTCGGGGCGTTAGAAATGACTGGCTGCTCGCTGATAATACACCTGACGCGTGCATCAGATGCTTTGATTTTGCTGCGTGGCAGTTTTACTTGGGAATGGGTTCATCGTGTGCGTGTACGTATACACATTGCAAGCGAGGTCTCTGTCTGTATACCGCCCGCCCCTTTCTGTCGTTCGACACTTCACGTAAGTTACGATCGCAATCGAAAAGCCAGCAGCCGGCGTCCGACGATTCGTCGTCGTGTACTGAATTTGTTTGCTCGCCACTGACGTCCTTCCTGCCTATCCCCGTTCCTCTCCAGTTATGCATAAAAAACCGTACTCCTCCTATCTATAATACTGCTTCTGTTGCTGCTGCCACTCATACTACTACTTCTTCTGCTACTACTACCACTTCTACTACAGTATCACTGAGACCGCTACTACTACGGCCACTAATAATAAAATTTAACAATAATAATAATACCAATATTTAATAATATTAATCGTAATAATAATAATAACAACCGAACCTACCGACGACCCTTCATACGGGGGTCATGAAGTCGACGGCGTCCTCGTCGGCCGCAGCTCTCGACCCTCCCGCCGCTCGGACCGCGTCATCACACGCGCGAAAAAGCGTCTGGCGACTGAAACGTGACAGCTGCGCCACGCTTCGCGCCTTTGAGGCCCAGCGCAGCGCGCAGCTCGACAAGTTCCAGACGCGAGACCGCGCCTATTGGCGTCAATTCCAAGACGAAATTCGCCACGGAGACGTGGAGAACACGCGGCTGATGCGCTTCTTCACGCTGCGATTGGAAGCGGATTTGGTCTACGCAGAGGCGTTGAGGCAGACGCGCCAGGTGCTGGACGCTCCGACGACGCCGGGGCTGACGGACTCGGACGGCTCGTCGACTTCGGAGTTCCCGGTCGTGCAGTCGTCAGTGTCCAAAGCGCTATGCGCAGTGGGGGAAGTCCAGCAACAAGTGGCCGAGAAGTTGGAGCAGTTCACGACCGTCGTGAAGCGCGAAGTGACGGTGAAGCTCGTGGAGGAGATGGCCGCTACGTTCAAGGAACGGGTGGCGGCAATGCTGAGTGAGGGCGAGAGACTGGATGGGCTGCTGTACCAGTCGCAGAGGAACGTGCTGACGTCGTTTGGCAAGTACGATGAGCTCTATCGTGTGATGGAAAAGGAGGAGGAGGCTCTGGCCGCTGCGGACGCAGTAGACCCAGCGCGACGACGGGATCTGTGGCTGGCCGAAGTCAATTACTCCATTAACGTGCAGAAGCTGCAGCATTGTCGTGTCGAGTACGTCACGGGAATGGCGACGCTGTTCCAGCAGTACAAGACGATTGAAGTATGGCGATCGTCAGTCATTCAGACAGCGCTGGATACGTATACTCGCAAACAAAAGCTGACGTATGGCGAGATGGCAGGTGCGATGGCTGGTCCGCTGGCTAGTGTGCAGGTAAGCACGATACGAAACGGCTCTTGTATGGGTCTGGCATTGTTGGGTGTAACGAAATTGTGTGAGCGCAGCGTATTGACCCTGAACGAGACCTACTGCAGAGTGTGCGAAGGATACCGAAAAACGTACGCGGACTACTTTGTGCATCACCTTTGTGTTGTCTGCTGGACTGATAGTTTGTGCGTGGGTTTGCCATGTTGTTCAGTACACGGCAGCAGCGTTATCGGCAGCGGACGACACAGACGCAAAGCTGTTTTCGACGCTGCGGTCGCCCATTGCGAGTCCGTTGTTGGTGCGCTGTGGATTCGTGAAGAACCAAGTGGGCGGCTCACTATTTACATCCTGGAAGGACGTGCTGTGTGCCATTACACAAGACGGGTACCTGCATCTGCTGGACCTGAAGGAGCACACGACCCGCTCTATCCTGGTGTCGACGGAAGCGATGCTGTCGGCTATTGCAATGAACGATCAAAACGCGGACGTCAGCAGTCAATCGGTCTGTCTGGCAAACTGCCGAGTCGAGATTCTGGGAAAGAGCGCGACGCCGAGCTTCGAGATCACGGAAGTGAGTCCGCCGTCCGGGTTACTGAGTAGTATGTTACGAGTAGGTGTATCACGCACGCTGACGTTTCAATGTCCGAGCCAAGGCGACTTGATCGAGTGGGTAGTCGCTGCGAAGCAGTTCATCTCAGCTGGGTCGTCCATGGTGAATAGATAGACGGACGCTGTCGTAAGGACACGGTCGTAAACATGAGGACTGGTAGCATGTTTTGTAGCCTCGATGGTGTGCGGGACACCAGTCTCGTAAAAGTTACTGGCTGCCCTGATTGACCACTGACCGACCCCACGACTCGAGGAGCTACGACCAATAATGGGTCTGCTAGACGGTCTGATCACGGGCTTTGCGCGTAAGAGCAAGTTTGGGCGCTCGCACTCGCTGCGTCCGCTCACGAGCAAACGCGCCAACCGCCGCTTCTACAAGGGCAACGGCTGCCGCAACGAGGGGACCCATGCGAAACGTGGGCGGTACGTTGTGGACTCGGACAAGTTGCTGCAGCTCGAAGTGCCGGACCTCACGGGCTTTAAGGTGCGTCTGTCTGTCTGCGTTTGTCGACTTACGAATAGATCAGACAGTAGCGAGTGTTTGTCTGACGTCGGATTCTGTGGTTGACTTGCTGCAGCTCAAGCCGTACGTGTCGCCGCTGACGCCCAACCGCCGCCCGCAGTAGAGCGAGTGAGTGACAGAGATCAGGACGAGCACGCGGCGTTATCACACACGAGACGTCGTCACGCAAAGAAACTGTTTGAGGAAGTTAAACTTGTGTTGGACCGTCTGGAAGACACATATCACGTGGACTCGGCGGACTGAGTCCTTTTATCGGCTCAGGAAATTGTGCAGCCGCAAGTCTGGCCTTGTCGCAGCTGTTGACACTCCTCGCTCAGCAGATTGAGCTCCATTTCCTGACGCTCCTTCTCCTGCACCACACGTTCGTAGTCGGACTTTATGCGCTCCAGCTCGTTGTCGAAGCCCTCACGCTTCTGCGTCCCACTTGTGCGCTTTGGACCAGCGGATTCATACTTGGACTCCATCTGCTTCGTGGCAGCTCCGTCTTGCAGCATGCTCTCCAGATCGGCAATGCGTTCCCGCTGAGCCTGGGACTCCGCTTCGAAACGCGCCTTCTCCGACATGATTTGTGACGACTGCACCTGCATCTGCTCGATCTGCTCCTTGTAAATCTGCTCTCGACCGCCGACGCTGCCAAGTTCCTCTTTCACCTTTGACACATCGCCCTGCAGCATCCTGACTTTGCTTTCATAGCCTTCTTCCTGTCGGCTCAACAGAATTCGCATCGCCTCAGCGTACTTGGCCTCCGAGAAAGTCAAGAGGCACTCGAGTTTAGCACCACCACGAGCTTTGTGAAGGTAAGCGTCGCGAAATACCTGCCATACGCGCGAGAACTGCTGCATGTCCGCAAAGCCGCCTCGGTCGTCACCACTTGAAGAGGCCAGCTTGGGCTGGATTTGTTCAGCGTAAAGCACCTGGAGCAAGCGTTCACACATTTCTTTGCTCTGAGCCAAGTTGTCCCGAGCACATGCAGCCTTGTCGACTTCCATGCGCTTGCGCAGGTCGGCCTCCAGCTTCGCGGCACTGTCGCCGATGGCAGCAGCACGATAATGCGCCACAGCTTGCCCCTCGGCAGTCTTGATCTTCTCAGTGAGGTCGTCGACATCAAGAGGCAGATCCAGAGCACGCAGACTATTCTTGAATGCTTCAGCGGCGCTTGTCATCGCTTTCCGGCTTTCGCTTGCAGTCACGCCCTCCCAAGCAGACGTGATGACCGGGACGCCGCCACTGTTCATCGCAGCCACGTAGGCTTGCAGCAAGCCAGCAAACATGCTGCCTGTCAGAGGTTTGCCGTGCAGCTTCTTGGGCTGTAGGCTATCGCCGTAAACGATTTGCTTGACAGCGCGAAGTTGCTGCTGGAATTCTGGTCGTAGATCTTTGATTGGCAGCTCGTCCACCTGCTGCAGCTTGGACTCGTCGTGCACAGGACGCACTAGCGTGATGCAGTCGCGTTCGCGAAAAAAGTCCTTCATCATAGTACGGGTCCGATTGCGCTCAATGTTGGCCGGCGTGCGTGGCTGGTCCGCCAGTGCTCGCTCCAGGTAGTCACTGCTCGAGATGGGGTCACCATCTTCGTCCACGAGCTCGAGCGTAAAGTCTCTCACGACCCACAGAAAAGACGGAAAGAAGCTGTGCAGTTGCCGCACGTCGGCGTCATCGTCGCTCTCGCCTGTCGACGCGGCACTGACTCGAATGTGTTTCGCCAAATTGGCAATGAAGCTCAATCCACCAATGGCCTTCTCATCGACACTCCCTTGACTGTTGTAAATGAGCTTCGAGCACAAGAGCGTGGCCAGCGAGAAGATGCGCGCGTCGTACTGCTGCGAGGCCTCGAGGCCACCCATGCCCTCCGTATCGAGCACGAGCACCCACACATCCTTTCCATTGGCCATTCGGTGCCGCTGCGGCTGTCCCCAGATCCATATGCCGCGGGTACAGCGCTCGACAGTAGGGCCCACACGAAACCCGTTCTGTCTGTCCAGCAGCCAATTGAGCATCGAGCTCTTGCCCGTGCGATAGAGTCCGGCCATGGCCACGACCGCAACGTGGCCTTCGATACGGCGTAGCATCTCCACGGCCGCGTCGTTCACCTTGAGCTGCTTCGTGCCGTCGTCGAACGTGATGAGCGGCACGGGCTCTTCTGGGAACTCCTGCTCTGTCGCCGCCATCGTAGATCAGAAGTGGGCAAAAAGATAGACGACGAGCTGCTACTTACTTGATCGTCTGTGAAGAGGTGTGGTACACACGTGAAGTAAGCGCACGAAAACAGACTCGGTCTGCGGTGCACGCACACCATGATGATCGTACAATTTGTGGCGCACGCACATCACGACGATCGTACAATAGTCGGTGGTGCACCCTACGTAGTAAGCAAAGGACAGCCATCGGCTCGATCGATCGCGAGACCGGAGAGATGCTGTTGCTGCGACGTGTGGGATCGCGTTGCAGTACTCGAGAGGCTTTTGTTGACTTGAGAGCACTTGCAGCAACACGGACACAATCGAAGACGTCGTCGCTGTCCGTCTGCACGCATCACTTACAGCGAAAAGGTCTCGCAACGTCGTCTCCCACAGCTCTGCAAGGGCTGAATGTCGACACATTTGACCTGCCGCCACTTCCGACGGCAGATGAAGTCGACGCTACGATTGCAGCCGCAGAAGCTACAGCTCAGCGCCAGCAGATGGCGAAAAAGGTCCAACATATGCCGATACGAGCTGTCCACATTGCTCGAAAAATGGACATTGCCAACCTCTTTCGGAAGCTGTATACGGACAAGTTCAAAGTCACTCACTATTTGCACCGGGACTCGATTGTGCTTCGACTGAACGGTAGTAACAACAACAACGTTCATGATGGACTCGTCACGGGTGTGACGCGTCCGACTGTACAAGATCCATGCAACACGGGTAATGTTGACGCAGCGTCGATGCTGAGCATTGGATCCGGAGGCAAAACTGTCACGTCTCGACGTGGCACTGATAAGTGGGTGGTGTATTTCGACTATGGAGCTGTTGTGTTTTTCAACTGTGATCAAGCACTAGTGAGCACGTTGATTAAACACGCCACGCGCTTCTGTAGCGACGTGTTTGAGATGCGCGGACACGAGGAAGAGATGCTGCTTGTTGGCGACCCATCACAGAAGAAGTGGAGCACATTGGTAGAAAACAACGTGCTGGTGCGTGAGATTGACCATATCAACGTGCACGTGATTGCTGGAGTGCTCTCACAGACGGTGGCTCTAGAGTTTTACGAGCGCCAGTGCGAGACCATTTTGCGTGAGTTTGAGAAGCTCAACACGGACGTGGAAAAGAATGGCCCCCGAGGTGCTCTATTTGGCCGTGAAAACGAACAGACGAAGAGTCTCTTCAAGATTGTGGCGTCAAATAACACACTGCTGATCGACCTGGTGAGCAAGCTGCGCGTGATTGACCGTAAAAGGCCTGGCGATCCAGCTTGGAGTCAAACAAGATACCACAATATGTGGGAGTCTCTGCTCGAAGAGTTCGAGCTGAACGAGCGCTTCCAGAATCTTAATTTTAAGCTGGAGCTGATCCAGCACAATACCAAGGTGGGTAGGCTATGGTCGTTGGCACAAGTTGAATGAGTCGCTGACGTTGATATGCTTGCAGTTTTTCTTGGAGGTGCTGCACTCGCATAAGGGCGAACGACTCGAGTGGTACATTATCATCCTCATTTCCGTTGAGCTGGGTATCGGTGTGTACGAGCTCCTTATGAAGCTGGCTTGAATCGAAAAGTTTATTAGAAAGTGGAGAGGGCTATGTAGATGAAAAAAACACCGCAGAATCGAAAGGACGCGATAGCGCTATCAATGCCACCCCTTGCCAGGCGCCACACTCTCGCCTGTGACGAACGGCATTCGAGCATCTGGAGAAGCGGCAAACACTGGGTAGAATGACGGCATGCGTCATTCTACCCAGTGTTTACCGCTTCTCCAGATGCTCGAATGCCGTTGAGTCGCCTATTTCTTGGCCCACTGAGCATGCTCGTGAGGAGCCTTGCGGTCCGTAAATTGCGATGCTGGCTGCCGTCCTCCACCATTTACATGATCCCAGTAGTTGTTGAACGACACGAAATCGTCCAGACCTAAATCAACCGTCTTGGTACGCAGCATAGCGGCCAGAAGCGAGCGCAGTTTCTCCACCTGGTCCGAAGACAGCGTCTCGGACTCTTCTTGCTTCTTTTTATTCTTGCTACTTGGCAGCTTGGTCGAAGTCAGGTCGTTCAACTTCAGATCTTGTGCATGCAGTAGTGTCACGCTCATCGTGTGGTACAAGTGAAAAGCGGTCCAAAAGAGGTGAGACCACGCACCTCCAGCAGTGTGACTCGGACTGAAGCGCTTGAACTCGTAACGGAATGACATCAGATGCACACGAGTTTGAGTTGGCAGGTTCTGCAGCAACGAAGTGAATCGTAGCACCGCTTTGCCGTTGCTACGAGCTCCTTCCGGTAGCAGCACGACCGGTCCAGAGGCACGACGTATCACATCTGCCATCTTTCTCGTGGGCTTGACACGTTCAGCTGTCACAGGCATAGTCAAGGACCGGAAAAGCGCCTCTAGCAGTCCGCAGACATGTACGAGATGTCCTGAGGCACTCTTTTCGTCTGTACCGTAGACAAAGACGGGAGAAAAGCGTTTGGCCAGGTACAGCACCTCGAGGAAGCTCGTAGAGTTGCAAACGACCACATCACCCCCTCCGACTTGGGATGAACCCTTAACGCTCTTTGCTTTGGCTGTAGCCAGCCCCAATCGACGCGTGTTGGCAGCTCCTTCCGAAGTGAAGACACCAAAGAGGAGCAGCAGCAGAGAGCACAGCAGGTACTCGACGAGACGCTTCAGTAATCGCCCGACGAACGGAATCACGGCCAAAATGGATACCACGACGTTGACTAAAACGAGCGCCACAGCGACAACGAGGACCAACGGGAACCGCACAAGGGCCAAGAGAGAGCCACATGCCACGTGGAGGATGGTCACGGGCCATCCAGACGTGAAGCGTCGACGCTGGGGCACGAACGGGTTGATCCCCGTCGTCAGATCCGCCCACCTGCTATACTTTTCCATGCGTGTTCGAGCCAGTGAGTTGCTTGTCGACGCCGGAAGCTCGACGCAGCAACATAACACAAAGTTGCTGGACGAAACGAACTTCACGTCGCATTTTGCTCGTCATGTCGAGACGTGTGCCACGCGCGGAGCTGCCGGAGGAGAACGACGTGGACGAGCTGCTGCGTCAGGAGGCTGCGTACCGGAAGGAGTTTGAGCCCGTTGCACCGTGGAAGCGCGACAATATCCCTGACTACGGCCCGCTGCAGGAGCACCATCACGTGCTCATCTTTGGCGTCGTGGGGACGGCCTGCACGATTTTCTACGAGTTTACCGACTACTTCAGCGAGATCCACCGGCTAGTGGCCTACGTGGCGATATGGGCCCCGCTGTGGTTTCGTCTGCTTGGTCGCGTGTCTCCAGCGCCGACGGACGAGGAGCTGGATGCCAGAGAACGACGCGAGTTTGAGAGGAACCTGCAGCGTATCGCCGACGAAAAGGACAAGGGCGACGATGATTGACGAGCTCAGCACTGAGAGGCGATCTCTTTAGAACCCTGTATCACACTGTGCATTGACAAGTTCACTTCCGCCTGTCGGCTGTTCATCGTTCTCACGTCCTCGTCCTCTTTGCCCAGTCCACGAGCTGCTCGCCCGTCCGTTCTACTTGCGGAACCAACCAAAGAAACCGCCACTCGCGTTGGCATCTGCCGTCTCGGCAGCCCTCTCGGCATCAGTCTTCGTGCGCTGCGTCAGGTCCGGGAACTCGAGCTCCTTAAATGCCACATCGAATAGCAGTGGCTTGCACGGCACGGCGCGAAACTCGGGTGGCAGCTTCACCAGCTCGCGGTGGCCCTCCACGGTGCCAGCCTCGAACTCGTTTTGACGATCCACAAGAGTACGGACCCGACGTTTCTTGCCCTTTTTGCCCTTCTTGCTCGTTTCCTTGCCTGCCAACGACAGCTGATCCAGCTCCAAACGCATGGCATCAGCACGCGTCGAAGACCTCAAAAAGCTCTCTGCTGTCGCGCGACTAACAGCACCCGCGAGCTCTCCGTGTAGTTCGCGCGTAAACTCCTGCAACAGATCGTCTTTAGCTGCAGGCTGTGCTGCCAGAATGCCTTCGGCTTCGGACAAAAAGCTAGAGGCGTACTGGTACAGAGCCATCGCTTCACCGAACCCGTGCTGTAGCAAGTAGGTCTGAGCAATCGTTGTTGCACGGCACGCACGAAAGACCGCGTTGTAGGCGCTGTATTGCGCGGCCCGACGCGGCTCGAGTTCACGTAGACCAGGGATGATCAGAATATCGCCAACAGTCTGCACCAGCATGTCTAGAATATGCGTGAGCTCGCCAGCCTGTTGTGCTGAGAAACGCTGCTTCAGTGTCCGGTATACGGTAGCTTGGCGCTCAAGCTGCTTGCTCAGCTTCTTGAAGCGCGCATACTCCTCCAGAGCAGCGAGCAACTCCAGGTCCGAGTGCACAAGCGCACTGCCACTCTTGGCTTGCTGTTCCAGCTTTGTCGTAGCGCTCTTTAGGGTGTGCAGAAGTGCATCATAGGCACTAAGTAACTCCAGAAATCGTGCCTCACGGGCTTTATCATTCTGCGCAGCTTCCAGCTCGACAGCAAGCTCATCGGTGCGAACCACTGCCAAGCCGATCTCCTGTGTCGGCACTGTCAGCTGCTGCTGCTTCCACTCCACGGACCCTAGATTGGCAACCTTTTGCTTACGCGCTTCGAGCAGCACTAGCTCAATCTTCGACTGCAGCAGCGAGTTGTTAGCGCCCTCGCTACCTGCTTGCAACTCCAGCGATGACGTCTCGGTTATGCTACCCGTGCGTCCCTGCAACGCCAGTCGATGCTCGCAAAAGCGGATAAACGGCTGCAGTTCGTCCGCTGAGCGCGAGAATAACTCCTTTTGCGAAAACGTGCCCACCTGCGACAGGTCCGTATAGATGCGTCGCACTGTACCAAACTTCTCCAAAGCTTCCACGTGCTCTTCACGATGGAAAGCCAAGTTGCCAGCCATGTAAGCAGCATAAGCCTCTGCTTCGAGACTCGTGCGGGCGTCAGCACGGACGGTGCAGATCGCAGCCAGCCGCTGACTCCACTCTGCGGCCTTGCGAAGACGTCCAGTCAAGTGAAACTTGATGCGGGAGTTGGCATCTTCTCCGTTCTCCAACTTGTCCAAGTTGTCGTCCTCCTTCAGCTGCATGGCGTAAGCCCAAGCCCGCTCGGCTTTGTACAGGGGCAGATACAGCAGACGGTGCTCCGTCGCCGTCTCAGCGTCCACCTTCTTGTTGACAAACTGTTTGCCTTTTCCATGCGTGAACTTGACCGACTTGCGGATGCGGCGCAGACGGCGGGCACAGTACTGACGGTAGCGCTGGAAGTCGCGATGACGCAGTCCGTTTTGCAGCTGCGCAGCCTTCACAGTCTCGAGAACTGCAGCCACGCGACGGTGTCAGTTTACAGCACAGAGAGAGAGAGAGAGAAAGATCGAGGGAGAGAGGGACAGATACATGAGCGTGCAAAAGCCGCATATAGAGCAGCGGGTACGTACTGGGGATACTCAGCACCTCGGTATCCATCGCAGGCGCTTCCTCTACCTTTGCTCCCTTGGCCATCGTCTCCTGCTTTCGATACCGGTTTTGTTGGGACGCAACCGATGTTTGATCGAGTACGGGGAGAGCAGTGTGGGTCCCTCGACCGAGTGACTGCGCCACCATTGGGTCCGAATCTCGGGACGCTGATCCCGTGAAGACATCGAGTGGTTTCCACCCTCTGGTGTGCGTCGACTGTACCACAAATCGATCGCCACTGTATCGAGATGCAGAACTGCTACTACCCACTGCCAGTGCAGCCACGAGTGCCAGTGCCTGCAAAGGGCGGCGCGTCTGCACAGCGTCTGGATGCAACGCGAGCAAGTACCGACGACATGCGACGTCCTTTCATGCAACTGGGAGCCATTAGCGGTGCAGCAGGATCGGCGTACGTCGAGTTGGGGCGTACGCGGGTGGTCTGTGCTGTTTACGGCCCACGGGCGGATACGCGAGCGCGTCGCGAGTTCAGCAAAGAAGGCCAATTGGTATGTGATGTTAAGTACGCTCCATTTGCCGATGAATGGACTCGTCGCGAGCGTGGTCAGGACCCGGACGAGATGGAGCTGTCGGCCATTATGGAGGAGGCGCTGGCCCCCGCTGTGATGCTGCACAAGCTGCCTAAGTGCATTGTGTCAGTGTTTGTGACCGTGCTGGAGAATGACGGAGGAGTCTTGACCGCTGCTATCAATTGCGCGTCACTGGCGCTGGTTGATGCCGCTGTGGAGATGTACGACGTGGTCACGGCTGCGAGCGTGGTGAGTGTTGACAAAACGCAGGAAGAAGTGACGGCAAACTTTGTGCATGGCCGGACTGACAATGTGTGTGCCGGATGCTGTGTGTAGGGCATTGTGAATGGCTTTGTGGTCCTGGATCCGAACAGGGATGAAGAACAGCGTGGAGATGGTAGGCTGGCGCTGGCCTACATGCCGTCGATGGAACGGGTCACATACATGTTGCAAGCTGGCAAGATACAACACGCGCAGTTGCAAGAAGCGGTCGATCTTTGCACGGATGCATGTACCGGTGTCACGCAGTCGTTACTCACAGCGTCGGTCGTGCAGGCTCTGTCCTAACCTTCTTAGATACAAGCATCATACAAACACATTTTTTGCAATGACAAAAGCCCTTTGTGTGCAAACTGTGTTTCTTCATTCGAGTGTCTCGCAGGCAAGAGCTAAGGTAGCGCTGCACCACCCTCGCACTGTCGTATAGCACTAGAGGTTCGTTTTTCATGATGCTCGGTATCTAGGCAACAACCTCCGCCTTGCGGTTCTGGAGCAAATTCTTCATAAAGAACTCGCCGGCCTTGTAACTAGAGCGCACCATTGGTCCACTGGCCACGTACAAAAAGCCCATTTGCTCGGCCACCTTTTGCCACTCGGCAAAAGCTTCAGGCGTCACGTACGACTTAACCGGCATGTGCTTGGTGCTTGGACGCAAGTACTGGCCAAACGTCACAACGTCCACTCCACTGTTGCGCAGATCGCGAAGTGTTTGGAACACATCCTCGTTGCGTTCGCCCACCCCTAGCATTAGCGACGTCTTCGTTACGAGGTGCGGTGCAACCACCTTGACGCGCTCGAGCACGTGAAGCGACTGCTTGTAGTTGGCACGATAATCACGCACCCGACGCTGAAGTCGTTCCACTGTCTCCAAATTGTGCGCAAAAACGTCGAGTCCTGACGTCGCCACTTGGTCAATCAGCTTGTCGTGGCCCTGGAAGTCTGGCGTCAGACACTCAATCAAGATCTTCGGCAGCTTCGCACGCAGCGTGCGGACAGTCGTGGCAAAGTGGCCCGCGCCAAAATCATCATAGTCGTCGCGGTCGACGCTCGTAAAGACAATGTAGTCCAGTCCCCAGGCGGCAATCGCTTCTGCCACCTTCTTCGGCTCTTCGGCGTCCAACGGAGCCGGTTTCTTGCTCGTCTTGACAGCACAAAAGCTGCATCCGCGCGTACACGTATCACCCATGAGCATAATCGTTGCTGTTGCAATGCCGTCCTTGCCGCCGCTCCAACACTCGCCAATGTTTGGACACTTGGCCTCCTCGCACACGGTACTCAGTCCCAGACTCTTGACCGTCTTGCGCAGCCGCTCGTAGTTGGCGCCTTGCGTGGGCTGCGCCTTGAGCCACTTGGGCTTGCGGTTTGACGCATTCGGCTTTCGAGAAGGCTTCGAGTCTGACGCAGCGTCGGCTTCGAACGCAAAGTCCGCGAGCGACAGCGCCTGCTCTGCGAACGTCGGGCCAAGACGCGCCTCCTCCGTGAGTCGTTCACGCAGCGCTGAGAGACGAGAGCCACCGGCGGAGCGTGTCACCTGTACGGAGGGAGCGCTGCTGCTCGAGCGGACGTGCTCAGCAGCCACGCGCGTGTACCGGATCACTGTCGTCGTCACGTGCATTTTTCCTCTTGCTAAAGAATTTGTGACTTTGTCGGGTGGTTACGCGTCTTTCCATACCCATCAAATAGACAGTTTGGATTGGCAGAAATGTGGCTCGGAAACGCATAGATGGGATTCCATCGCATGTATACACATGTGTAACATATGCATCCACGGTATACACGTCGATGTATATTCGTTTGTGTGTTTGTAGGTTTTGCTACTGTCCAATCGAATTGTACAGTTCCGAGCATGATTGGAGGTGCGGCGCGCGGGTTGTTCCAGAGTGCACGGCAAGTGCGACGAGCGACTCTGCGGCAGGTGAAGAAGCAACAGCGAGTGCGCACGGCTGGCAAGCAAAGTGAAGAGACGAGACGAACAGTGTGCGGACTGGCGCGAGGCGAGAGCGTGATCATCAATCAGCAGAGACGAACGATCGGACGTGCACGATTTTTTGAGACGGTAGTGAATGGTTGCGTCTGCAAGTACAAGCGCACTGTTTGCTGATAGACTATGAACGTTGTGTCTGTCAGATGCCGCGGGTTGTGATGATGGGAACAGTCAGCGTTATGAGTGTAGGAGCTATCGACGCACTTGTCATTTCACTGAAAGACTTGGCGGACGATGACGACGACGGTCGATAATGGCGCTTTGCAGCGCAGAGAAATAGCAGGACGTACGAGCGATTCAACCGTATCGTGTGGGATCAGTAAAGACTTCGTAGCGGTGATGATAGAGATTAACACGGGTACACCATACGTGCACTATCACTAGTAGTGCATTGGCGGGAAAAGAATGTCGTCTATTCAACAACTTACAATTCCCAGCTCATGCCGATGTCTTGCTCATGGTTACACTGCCCAGTAAGAGGCTACTCTGTCTTTTAACATCCCCAAATGATGATAGTCATCCGAAAAGAGCCCACACTCAGCCACTACCTTACTCCATCACGGGAAACTCAAACACAACGTCTTTGTTGGTGAGCTTCTTGTACACGGTGGCAAACGTGTCAAGCTTGGTCTCCACGTTGACCTGATCCTTAGGGTCCAGGTGTACTTTCAGCAACTTCGAGCCATCAAGACGACAGCGCGTGCGCTTTCCAACGATTTCCGTCGGGTACACAAGATCCTGCACACAGAGCGACAGAAAATAGGCCGTTGACATGAGTATACGGCATGGGGTGGCTAGCACCCAGAGGCCATCATCGAATTTTCAAGTAGAATAAAATGGACACAGCAAAACTTTGGTGGTGGTACGTACGTCAAGGATCTGCTCCTGCACGTGAGTAAGCGTGCGCGAGCGAGGGCGCGGACCAGCACCGCGGTTAGCGCGGGAGTAGCCCTTGCCCAGGATCGTGCGCTGGGCAATGATCACGACGTGACGGCCAGAAAACTTCTTCTCTAGCTCGCGTACGAGACGGGCCTGGATCTTCTTGAAAGAGGCGTGAAGACGGTAGGGCACAAAGATCACAATAGCCTTGCGGCCCGACGAGATGTCCACCTGCTTGGCGGCAGTGATGTACAGGTCCTTCAAGTCGTTCTTGATCTCAGCGGTGGACTGCTCGAGGTTGAAAAGCTCCTGAGCCACTTGCAGCTCAAACTCGTCGGCAGTTTGGCCCTGAGGCTTGACAATCTTGGTGGCCATGGTGGATGGGATGTGTTGACGTCTTTGAGCAAAACAGCGAGTGTGCGGGAAACGGAGAAGGAGCTGCTGGCCAGTCGATTGACGGACCGCCTCAGATCTGAGGAGGAGAATTTCGACGAATGAAGAGGACGGACTGGTGTCAGCATCGTGAATTGCAAAAGTGGAAAGACCCGTCATCGACGACTTGAGCCGGTGTTTGCTTAGTCAGGCATCGGACTCAACCCCTCGTTTTCAACCCATGTGAGTAAATCGCATCAAATTCGAAGCTAATTGGCGGCCAAGCGAAGAGATCAGGTTGTAGTCTTGCCGTTGTCTGCACTGGTAACCTACAGGAATGCGTCCGCATGTCTATCTGTGCTGATTCAGTGCAGGACTTGAGAGTAGTATGTGCAGCCACATAGCAGGAAACCTCAATCGACAAGCGCTGGGCGCGGTGGAATGGAAAACAGCTGCACATGATGGCTTGGCCTAGCTACAACTGCCGAACGTGCTACCAGCAACGACCCATAAGCGCGAATCAGTGTGTGTGTCGCTAGACGAGACGGAAGTTAACTTGCATGTCTGGTGCAATCCTGCTATTGATTAGCCATCACGCCGGCAAGGTACGGGTTCCTTCTTAACCCGAATGCGTCACCCACACTGCTCTGGACAAATCACCGTTGTTGTCACTTTTGGAGCACTCATGTAAGAGGTTGGAGACCGAATACGCAAAGTGCAGTGCAAACGAAACGTGTCAACTATAGTCTCTGGTACCGCCCATACCGCCACCACGTGCGTGACAATCCGCTGCCGTCTCAAGGTGGCATATGCAATCGATTACTTGATCCCCAGCTGAGTCTTGCAATCTTGACAGTACCACTTGCCTTGCGGCTGATCCGTGAGTCCCACACAACTGAAGTGGAACCACTCGTACTTGCAGTCGTCGTTGTCGCAGCCCACCATTTGTCCAAACGACACGCGACGACAACCGCAATAAATAGGCTCGTTTGGATCAATTGGCAAATCCTCCGAGGCCAGCAGCATCGACTCAGACGCAACCGGGTCTATCACAGTGGTTTCAGCGGCTACTCTCTTCCTCGAAGACGAGTTCCCTCCGCTAGAGGATTTTGGCCCCACAGAGGTCGACGATTTGTCCTTTGTGCCAGTACCCGAAGCTGACACTACACTGTTTTTGCTCCGGACATTGGCAATTTGAGGGGTTGCATGACCCTGACTGTTGTATTGCACTTGGTGCACTGTCGTAGCAGCTACCTTTTGCTTCTTGCGTTGAGGTCGGCTGTCTTCCTGGTACTCTCCATTAGCCTTCAACAGGGCCGCATAGCTTTCCAGCTCTCTATCGAGTCGACGGATGTGGTGGTCCACAATGTCGTAGCTCTGAGCTGCAATTGCAATCTTCTCGTCCAGCTTCTGCACCACTAAAGCATGTTTCTCTTCCAAACTCTCCAGCCGTTCCTTGGCACCAATAAGCTCTCGCAGTTCTTGCTCCGTAGGTTCGCTTTTCGTCGTGTCGTTGCACCGCGCGAGCACCTTTTGTCTCGAGTCGATTAAGTACGCTTTCTGCTCTTTCTTTAGGTCTTCGAAGAGCGGGTAGGACGTCTGGAAAGAAGGCCGTTAAAATGAGCGCAAGAGAAGCAAGAAAGAGTTACCATACCTTATCCAGGTCCCGCATGAGGTCGAAGTTGCGCTTGATCTCTGACGGCAACATGTACATGCTCTCCAGGTAGTCTTCGACGTACGTGCCCATGTTGCTGGCGAGTTGTTACTTGCTTTGTGTATGGCTAGGCGACTGAGGCAGAAGAATCGTACTTTAATAAAGTGACACTATTCGAAGATAGAGTGCTTTATGCAAAGTGCGTACGATAGATCATCTTGTCACCACGACGGCTCTGCCTACGCATCCAGAGAGTCCAGTGCATGTCCCAACACGTGCCAGAGTCCATCAGCTGAGCTCAGAGAGTCCATTTGCTTCGCATCACTGGTTGCTCAGTTGAGAAAAATACGTAGCCGCCCGATCAGATACCTTGCGGACTTGGAATATAAGCTCAGCTGTAGGGCTCTTGCTCGGGTGTCTACCAAAACATTGCCGGTGTAGACGTGTGCCGCAATGACCAGGCTTCACTATTGATACTGTCTGAGGCGGCGTATCAGCGCGTTTGCTCACACAGAACATCCACATGACTTAACTGTGGCGGAGCCTCCGCTGATGCATGCGGTATCATACCCCGTCACGTACATGGCATATGGACGTGAGCTCCGTGGCGTCTACGATCTATTCACTCAAGCAACACAAGTGCCGCTGCTCCATTGTACCTCCTGTCCGATCACATGAATGGCGAGTAGAAGATGCCACCTATCGATCGTACATATGTTGCAAGTACTGTCCCATGAGCACAGTTTATGATTCAGTTTACGCCATCGATCAAGCAGAGCCAAACATCGCTTCGTGTTCGTCGTTCTTGTCTTGTCATACATCGGCTTTCCTCTCCAGGTCATCGCCTCAATGCTGACTACGTGCAAGCGAGGATGCACTTGCCCAGGACCTTTGGCGATTCGTGCGTTTACATTCAGCTGGTCTGGACGAACCCATGTTGTATTTACTTGGTACAATTTTTTTGCCTCATTATCAACGTGTCGCAGACCCTCTTGACAGGTGTTCACAAAAATACTTTCCTCATCAGGACATTCTGGTACGTCAAATCTTGGCGTGCCCTACAGCTTGTTTGATACGGGTATCAGCTGTCTATGCACACTTCTCGATGCACAGTCCTGCTGCGAGCCTTCAGTTGACAGCGTGCTCACGATAATTTGCAGCACGAATGATGAGGACTGTAAATAGTTGTCTGCTTATGTAAGCGGTCTCTATCGTTCTGCATTGCGTGTCGAGGGCTGAAGCGACCACATTTGTGGAATATCTTAAATTTTGCTATAGAATGTATCGATGCTTGGTCTAGCAAAGCGTTACGAGTTGACCGCTGAACCGATTCGTGTTCCTAGTGTCTACTTCCTCATAATCTCTTTTCGTTGACACAAGCGCACTTCGCTGAAATTACAGGGACATCAAAAACACCATGAGCTCAGTATGAACAACGGGCAGGTATCTATTAGGACACAGTGTTGTCAGCAATCACCATGGCTTACGAGTGACACGGCATTCACCCAGAGCTTTTCCATCGTGCAGATACACGTGTTTTGCTACTAAAACTTGGACACGTCGCGACCAACAACGAACGCCTTGATCCAGTCGAGAGGCACCTGCAATCGGAGACGCCAGCTTCCCAGCTTCGTCATATACGCACTGCGCCACAGAAACCAAGCCTTCCACCCACTGAGCGTAATTGTATCGTCATCACGGGGGTGAGCCTCAAAAAGCCCTTCGTACGAGCCCAGGTACGCCATCATGCCTTTGCTGCGAAAGGTGTACGGTTTCGCTGGCGCTGGGTTCTTGCCGCGAAAGAGCGACGAGAGATAGTTTGCCTGAGTCTCCGCTTTCTGGGCTGTCGCCGGTAGCGGGTAGTTCAAGATCTCAGCGCAATCACCGATTGCAAACACATTCGAACGCTGCGGCATTCCCCACGGAGCTTCTTCTTCAGCTTCCGCAGCACCCAAGACCTGGCAGTACGGGTTGGTCAAGATATTGCCACGCTCACTCTTCTTAAACACCGTCAGGGCCTTGGTGAGCTCGTTCGGGCCGACGCCAGCTGTCCATACAACAAGACCAGCCGGAATTTTCTCGCCACCTTCTACTATAACGCCGTCTGCAGTGACTTCGATACAGTTCTTCTTCACAATGTCCATCGTGTCGCGTTTCTGGATCTTACGCATCGCCACAGTACGCAAGTGTTGATCAAATCCGTTCAGAATTTCGCACGAGTCTACAAGCGTCACACCCAAATGCTTAGACGTCTGCGGGTACTTGTGTACTAGGTCCTGCGACACCAGATCATACAACTCGGCACAAAACTCGATTCCAGTAGGGCCGCCACCAACCACAACGAAATGCAGCAATCGCTGCTTTTCTTCAAGAGTAACGTTTGGCTGAGTAGCGATTTCGAAGTTCTCAAGAATGCGATTGCGAATCTTCTGGGCGTGGTGAATCTCTTTGAGAAAGAAAGCGTATTGTTCAACGCCAGGCAGCCCGAACGTCAGTGGATTTGAGCCACACGCTAACACCAAAGCGTCGTACTTGATGTCGTACTTGCCACTGCGACTTTCAGCGCTGACAGCCGACTCGACATTAAGGACTTTTAACTCCGGGTCGATATTCTGTACGTTGGCCAGATGAAAGTCACTTTCGTGGCTAATGCTGTCGCGAAGCGGTTCGATGATGGACCGAAGCTCCAACGTCCCTACGGTCGTGCTCGCCAGCAACGGCGTGTAGAGGAAGTGCTGTCATGAGTAAAAAATAGAACGTCAATTTGCCATCCAGTAGAAAGTAAGGACTGCAGACGTACGTTACGTTTCGAGACGACTACGAGGTCCACCGGCCGACCAATGTTTTCCTCGATATCCACGAGATGCTTGCGACATTGCGTGAACATTTGGTAGCCGGCCCAGCCCGTGCCGATGATGACGAGCTGGAAGTTTTCACGGTCCGAGACTTCGCCTGGACGAACATCGAGGCTTGACAGCGGGCGCTTCGTCAACGAACATCGACTAGCGCGGGGTACGACTGAGGTCGCGTTCAAGAGCTGACGGCGGGTCCACATGTGAAAAGGGCACGAGTGTTGGCAGTTATGAGAGAATCAACAAGTGAGAGCAGGATTTTGTAGGCGCCTCCGATAGGGTCCGTCTGCGACGGTAATATACTTGGTAGGTAGAGCCACAGTGCATGATTACGCATATCCTGTGGTGTACCGAATAATTGGATCAGTAGTGATTAGTGCCACGGCTGGTAGCGGACGTGTGTCAAACACCAGAAAGACCGTAATCCGGCCTTGCTCCGATACCGAGTCCAACCTTAAATGTGAGTCCTTAGACGGAATTTTACCAGGACGGGGCTAAATTTATATTAAATATAGGGCATTGCCAAATTCACACCCCTTTTCCTTAGATTCACACCCTTCTTTCAAAATCCTATATATACAAAGTACGCAATCGCCGTTGGACAAATAGCGCGAGGCGGGACAGAGCCCAGACGAGCCATAGCCGAGAGCTCACTTGCATGAGTGTAGAGCCCACTGGGGATCGCACAAAGCCCACGGCATCGTGCACGATCTCCATTACGGCCATCGTCTGAACCACTTTGAGCGGCAGTGACACAACGTCCCACGTGATTTGAGCCACTTGGCAACAGTCCAGATCGCCACCTTCACGCGCCTTGAGGACCGTTGTCACTGTTAGGTACAACACGTACGCCCAGCCAGCGCAAGAGACGTCATTGAAGGCCAGCAGGTACAAATTTAGTTGCGAGGACTACGCATACAAAAAGAGGGAACTATGGTCAGCCTCTGCGTTGCAACCTGGACACTCGTCTGTATCTCCTCTTGTTCTCACCTATATGGCCTGCACGACCGTTCTTGGAAAGTCGTCAAGAATAAAGCCACGACGGCATTCCGAACTCTTGATGGCGTCCTTGACGATACCGATCGACAATCTCGTCGGTCACAAGTGCGCCCGACTCCATCGCGGCTTTGACCTTCTTGCCTATTTCGGTGCCAGCAGCTACAGCAGCGCGCAAGATGTTACCCGTAGCCAAGTGGCATAGAAATTACTCGTCTTTGTCCAACGTCAATTGCGTACCTTGTATATATAAGATTTTGAAGGAAGGGTGTGAATCTGAGGAAAAGAGGTGTGAATTTAGCAATTCCCTAAAATATCATTATGGTCAACAGAAGATTTAAAACGCTATAAGCCTGGCTACTGCATTTCCGACAGCGTCTTTGAGACCTGCAGACGTTTGGACAATGGGTGCGACAATGCAGGACAGAGCTTGATATAAGTATAACACTTTTTTGATGTGTTGTGCCTATGCGTCTTCATTCTATAGGAGATACAAGATATAACGAGGTTGCTATCGCATTAGTGATCATGACGAACGCTGCAGACGTAACAAAGGCTACGTAAATCGCAAGTTGCAACTGTAAGTGCTGTAAGGTGATGTGTATACGGCGAGAAGAGTTGCGATGTACTAAATGAGTCGCTTGTGGATCTATTATCTTGTGTAGGTGCGCGTGAGTATCCAGTGGCTGTGCACATGAATGTCCCATGAACAGGTTAGCTTGAGAAGAATTTGCATCTATCTCAGGAGAGAGCAAGTGCCGTTGGGGTATACAGAAATAAAAAGTAACGATTTCATGTTGTTGGACGCTAAGTGAACGATGTGTCCACTGTGATATAATTAATGTATTCCAAAGCCCAATTTATTATGCATCGCACCAAGCTGTTTCGTACTGATAGTGGCTGATATATAACAACACAGCTTTCTTTCATCCATGAATTCGATATACCACCTTCTTTTCTCTATGTTCTTGTTCCTCACCCTTCTTTTATCTTACAAGACTCCCTCAAAGGATTTCATAGATGTTGCCTCACCATTCTTCAATGTCGTCGTTCGTCATGCTTCTACTTCGATAAATAGATATTCACCACGTTCTATAGCAAGCTGGCTACAAAAACATTCGACCATTATGCATCTTCAATAGCAGACAATAACGGAAACGTCTATCTTCTGCATTATAGTATGGCAACAATGATCGAACTAACGTTTATCAACAAAAAATATTTGAATCATTGCTACGTATTAGACAAGTATAATTTGTTCATGGTTATGCATGTAGCACTATAGCTATTGATGTTTGCCATCTTCGACAATCTTGCTGCCTTCATCATCCCAATCGCTATCCTCTTCTAGAAACGCAATATCATCCTGAAAGCTAAATTCTGCGACCGCGTCGGCTACGATAGAGGCAGCAGCCTGAGTACCGAAGTCGACATCGCCGTCGTCTTCAAATATCCCTTCATTTATCGTAATTGACATCGCTGAATATTCATAGTCTTGTCCCCCGTCAATTTCCACGATATCTTGAGCTTCGACCACGGTCTGATTTCTATCTCCACCACTGGCTCTGATACGAACCTCTGCAGACGATACGACGACTCTACTCTTCTTGTAACGGGGTACCGACGACTAATTACTGGTCAACCAGTACGGAGTTTACTATCACTGACTGTAGTTATATTCAGTGCCCAGCTAGGTGTAGAATTACACAGAGGAAAATCGAACTACTAAGGTGAAAGACTCTAGTCGTAGGAAAAGTAAAACTGTAATTAATATAATTAAGTCCTATAGCTTCTTGAATCTCTGTTTGTCCTGATTTCATTATACTTATGTAACTAGATGTATGATGTCGTCTACTCACCACCCATTGCGCGCGTCTAGCAGCGATTGGTGGGTTGGCATCATCGCGATATTTACCAATGACAAGACTCTTCGGTCATCCTAACAATAGTACCATGCTTGTGATACTGCTGAAAGAATATTCAACGTTTTATTCTATATTGTCAATTTCTTCTTTATCACAATTTTCATGTAACGGGCTACCCCATTACACTTCTTATTTCGCGGCCGTAGATAGTCGATTTCAGCCTTACTGGGTCTTTGTATGCACTTGATGCTTTGCGTGTTCATCCAAACATAGCCCAATATAGTTGCTCTCGATCCAAGTAAGCGATTTCTTCTCGTAGTGTATGAATCCAGAGTTGCTCCAACATCGTTCAGCAGAGGCGGCTGACGATGGTATGGGTAAAAGCTTCATGGCAATCTACATTATAAAAAATAGGACTAAGTTATACCAACCAATATAATAAACAAACTTTCCTTACCTGTATCAGCTCTAAATGTTTAATTGAAATGAATCTTGGCAGCAAAAGCCACCAATCTGCTGCAGAAACTTCCCCATATGGAGAAGGGTTACCGATATGACGCCATATCACAGATACGTAAAATTCTTCACTCCGGCACTGAAAACAATTTGACTGATTAGTGACCTTGTAGTAAAACGCCTCGTTATCGTTTAAAAACTTTTTAAGAAAATCCTTTGCACGCGTATACTGGTTCGACGAGAAGCTCTGACCATGTGTCTAGGATCCAAAATCCTGCAAGAAAAACTTCGTCGCTATAAATAATTTTGAGATGACCGTCTAGCCTGGTTTGTAGTATATTTTCTTTAATTTTTCAGTGACTTATGAGAGTATATTGTTCTTCTTTCTCTAAGATCCCTTCCTTCCACGCAAAAAGATCATAAATATTTCCATTGCGGATTCTCTCGATAAAAGCTAGAACAACTCCCAACTTGAGTACGTCGCTTTAAAACTTATCGAGGACCTTGTCGAATTCTTCTAGGACTCAATGGACGAATGACAAGTCATTCCATATCTCGTCAGACTTTAAGAGTGAAAGAATGGTCTTGTTCCATAGGTAAGCATTCATTTCCCGTACTTCTTGACTAGCGATAGACACAAGATTATGGAAGGCCAGCCTTGCATTTGAGACAGCATCAACCATCCGAAAGTGTGAACCCCATCTGGTATCACCTATAAACATTAAGATTCCTCCAAATCGAACGTGTTTGCTGTCATACACGTACCAAGAATTTTCCTTCGGGTGGTGGTGACTCAAAAATTACTTAGTCACTTTATGACAATTGTCCACAACTATGGTAAATGGGTCATACCGTAAAAAGTCCTTGATAATTAGATGCAAGGTGTGAGCCATACAAGGTAGGGTAATCAAATTTAAATAATTGTTTTCGAAAATTCTCCACTCTTTCATTACTAATTCGCTATCTGTTACGACAGCTGATATCCCACGGCTCGTAATTTTAGTGTAATCGACCAACCCGCCCAAGGCAATAATGTCTTTCCTTTATGATAGCCGCCATATATTATCCCAAATGAGAATTATCGCCAGTATCCACAGCTATATCAAATATCGGCGTTGGGGTGGCAATCATAATATTGACTACAGGATTCTTTTTTACTTTAGTTTAGCCGTCGCAAGTTATAGTAAATGATCCTGCAGTGTTATTTTCAGGTAATCCTATACAATCTGCTCGATCCTTGCAATTACATTAACCAAGAGGCAATTGGAGAAAACATACCGATATGGCATCTCTACGCCGGACACATAGCTCTGTAAAAGTTCTTCCGTTCTTCAAAAAAAAATATCGACAACAGCAAACCGCTTGCACATACTGCTAAAGCATATAGACCATCGAGCTTTTTCTTTTTACATGAAAACATTAATTGTGATATGCCTTTATGTACACTTAGTGCCCGCTGTCCATGCGTTCTTTGTAAAATTCCAATAGGGTTTTCCATTTATCTGTCATCAGCTGAATCATAGTCATCATCGCGCGGTTTTCTCGATTAGAATGTTTGACCACTACCAACAACTCCGCGACTAAAAGTAGTGCTGGTTAAGGATTTACCGACGCAACATTATAGATCAGCTGACTCGTTGGGTAAGATTTCAGTATCAGAAAGACTTGACAGAGCATCTCTTTTAACCTCAGCAGAAATCTCATCGCAGACTTTGGTGAGTTGCACAAGCATGCGATTGGTCGTTCCACCCTTTTAAACAATCCCGCAAAAGGTTCAAGTGCCATTTCGAAAACCAGATGACTATGGTTTGACGTGTGTCCAGGTTCATTCTCTAGATCGAGTCATCAATAGATTAAATGTGCGAGCCGTTAAAGTACAGTAGCAA